ATCCGTCCATTCCGTTTCTAATGAGAAGCCTGATAATACTTTTAAAGAAGATAATATTATAAAACCATTGCCTGTACGGTGAACACAACCATAGATTACTTTTTTACAGTTACAAATAATCATGGAAAATGTGCACTACCACAATAACAGTAAGTTAATCATCATAGAAATGATGGAGCAATTCAGGTTGATCCAGTTCAAATACAAGTGGGCCTAGAGATGGAGGTAGTTGTTTGAATAATATCGCTGATATAAAAAGTACACAATCTATATAGCATATGTTTCAAGTTTAAAGACGCTGCGTTGATAAGTATTTGTTTGGAAGCCATCAATAGCAAGACAGTTCTTATTATAAAAACGTATGCCTTAAATATGCTGTGTTACCATTTAGAACATGAATCGTTACCTTTTCCTTTGTCAAAACAAATAAAGGTCTCAAATTTTGGAGCTCCAGGGCTCCCAACCTATTTCTCTGAAACTCCTTAATACTATTAGAGGTAACTTTGAGTTACTCAAGTGTGTTGGTAGAAATCAACTTCACTTGGCTTTTCATAAATTGTTACTATTGAAGTCGGCAACATATGATTTTTTTCATTAATTGATTTACATTGAGTTGGACTTTGGCAGCTAGTGAAGATACATAGGAATCCACAAAACTCAGTTCACTAATAATGTACGTTGAACATTTATTAGCTGTATAAACAATTCAGAAATCTGTTTGATCAAGATAGAAACATGCCAGATATTCAGTTGTTTAAAGAAATAATTTGGAAACAACTTACCGAAACGCTGAGCGATTGGAAAACATTATAGACTGATGAAATTTTTAGCATTACATTCAAAACGTTACAAAGTTGAAACGCAAGAACTTGGATTCATGTATGAAGTCTCAGATTGAAAGAAGTATAAGAAAGCAAATTATACACATTACACAGAAGATTTCTCATTCTCAAAACGTTTCAAAGGCTAAAATATCTTCTACTGTATTGACACAACAAATTAACGAGTGAGAGTATAAAAAATTGAAGGAAGGAAAGGAAAAAAAAAACAAAATGTGCTGCCGAAACTATTTTCGCGGAAAGAAACAAGTAGAAGTTTTGATCAGGAGAAACAAGACAAAATGTACAACCGATTCAGAAGTTGAGAGGGGTGGTCGATAGGTATTTCAATAATAATAAATTTTAGTGGTAAAAATGGAAAAAGGTGACAATGTGGAGTTCTTTGAATACATATTCTGCAGAATATTTGTGTACTTGCGATGACATATTGGATTGCACTCTCCTATACAGAAGAGTGAAAGTGATTTATGCCATGCGCTAGTAAGAGCAGTACGAAAGAATTATGCAACATTTAAGACCAGCTCGAAGAGGTATATAATGACCAATATAATCTAGGTATATCCCAATTTGAAAGAGAGAAAGGCGATTTATCTATCCAGAAGACTATCCGAGAGAGAAACAAAAGACAATCTCGGTTTATTATGTTATACTGAGGGAGGGATCAAATATCAGGGGAGTGTAGAATTGAATAAAAACTGTAATTCTGCTTGATGCCATAATTCTGGTAAATTCCTGCCGGAAAACAATTACTTTTGGCTAATACCTCGATGGATATTGAATCCTATCCAACGGCATGCAAGATACCTCACAAAGGTTAGTCTTACAGTTTCTCGTTCATTCAGTAGCAGGACCAGGCTGAAATCAATCAAGTACATCAGACCAGTTTCGAGGCGTTGCCTCTCATCAATGTAGGGAAGATCTGACCTTAGCTTGGATAGGCTGGTCCACGGTGGCATGTTTTGCAAAAGCTGTGAGGTATCTAGCATAAGTGTCTGTCGCATAAGTGTCCTTTATGGAAGTAGTTGTTTACCAGAACTCACTATGTTGGGAGAGATGAATATTTTGAGATATTATTTCAAAATATTCATTCACTCTCTTCGATTCAGTCTTCAGGCTTATTTTAGTAATCAGGTGTTAAAAAATGAACCATTATGGTATGGCCCTCTCAACCAAAATAACTGAAAGTAACGAAGTTAGTTCATTTGGTAAATCGGCACTTTTTTGTTCAGACAGCTACAGAAAGAAAACGAGCTTCGAAAATGATTAGGTGAAAGTGTAGATTGTAGCTATTAGGTACTGAAGTCGAAATAAATTAAGAGGTATTTATTTCAACATGTTAGTATTTTACGTAATATTTATGTTACGCGATGTTCACCAAGGTCCCAGATATTGTTTTGAAATTTTTCATGTACTCCTTCCAAATATTACCTCGAAACAAATATTTCATTACATTAGGTACCTCATACCTCATACTTTCATTCGAAAAAGAGATTCATTCTTTGTTTATCAATTATTTGTTGATTGTGTTTTGAACAAAATGCTCTTTGATTTTTCAGACAACCGATTTGAATGAAGCTTTTCAAACTGATAAGCTCCACTTAATTATAGCAGGAGTGTATCCTTTGGAGAAAACCAATTACAAAAGGCTGCATAAACTCAGCGCTATGTTCAATTACACTATATCTTGGGTACAATTACTGTTGACATTGACTTTTTCCATTACCCAATTGTCCAACCTGGTTAAACTCTCAGAAGCACTCCTATTCAACTCAACTCAAATAGCATTCGTCTGCAAACTCTTGAATTTCAATCTGCAGCATAGAAGCATGCTCAAGCTGGAAGAGTTTTTGAGGCAACCAACGTTAACTAAAGTTACCGAAGAAGAAGACAATATCATTAGACATTACGTTAGAGGAGTTAGAAGAATTGGCCTCATATTCAGGGTATTATGTGTAGTTGTAGTGATATTTTACGCCCTTTTTCCATTGATGGATAGAAACCCTGATGGGTCCAAAAAGTTGCCGTTGCCTATATGGCTTCCATTTGATAGCAACAAGTATTATCATACAATATGGTTTTCCGAAGTTCTCAGTATAGCGGTTGGGGCTTGGATAAATTCTAATATTGACATTTTGAGTTAAACACTAATGACATTAGGTACTGCCCAATTTGAGATATTGAAAAATAGATTGAGAAACTTAGTGAAAACGAGCAATGAGTTTGTGGAAGAGGATCTGGTTCTAGAGAAGATGAAACAATGTGTGATACACTTCAATGATATTAACAGGTTTGTGGTTCTAGCTGAGAAATAATAATATCTAAATGTGTAACCCTCGGGTTTATTGAACAATGATAGAAGGATTGTTAGTTGTCAGCATTCTCCTTGAGTTTCGGAAGAAATATCCTAATTATTTATTGAAGTTAATATTTTACTCAGTCCTAATTTCACATCGGTTGTCAGCTTGACCTCAGATTCTTCATAAATTCAAATATTTTTTCAATTCATTATAAAGCATAAAATCTTGTTTGAATTGAAAGGGGTATATTTTTATGAGATGATAATTTTTTAGGAAAGAAAGGTTTTGGCTTTCTACTTCTCCATCGTCATATGAAAAATGTGGGAATCATTGGGAATCTATGGAAGATTCCCACATTTTTTATATGAAGACGAAAAAGTAGAAAGCTCCTTTCTTTCCCAAAAATATAAAATTTTATTCTTCAATTCTAGTAATGAAGTTTCATTGTTCAAAAATTTTTCTTTGATAGTTTCAAACATCATTTTTAATAGCTCATATAGTTTAGTGAACTGTCAGTTTCCATTTGACCTAATAAGGGATTCTTGTGTGTGCACCAATTAAGTAATTTTAGTAGATTATCAGGTGTTGAGGTTACGTTAAAAAGAAGAAGAAATAAAACATTTTGAATAGAAATTCATTATACATTTTCATTTTGGTAACATATCACAAAGCCATTTGTATAGAATATCTGCGTTTCGGAGACTGTATTTATATTTAATTCAGTTATTTCAGTGGAAGTGCAATTTTTTGTATTGTAGGTACTATCACATGAGAAATGAAGACCACATATTTTTCATTTATTTATTTATTCACCCTAACATATCACATAGGTCTGATTACAAGGATATACAAGGATTTCATATAACCGACCCGGCTTCGTTCGGGTAGCATACCATATATGCCCCATTTTCCTCTGTCATGTTCATAACTATCGATTGTGACTTCGAAATAGAAAAAAGTATCTATATACATAAAGACAAAAACACAAAATAAAAAAGTGACCTCAACCTTCAAAGTGATTCAAAACATAAAACAAAACTAACGCAAATGCAACCTTCATTATGCGTACCTCATCGATTTGTGGCTTGAATTTATTTTCTCGTGCGATACTTTTGGTTCTGCTATAGGGGTATATAAAGAAGGATCCATTCACCTCTTATAATTCGAAATTTATTTTTTTTTCAACTATCAAACAATCTCAACTATGTAAAATGAATATTGCAAGCTTTCTTCATCACGCGTATTGCAATGCATCACATCGTCTTGTCAGGCCGCTTGAATTCATTTTCCCGCGCTATAATTTCAATTTTCTGTTTACTCTCAAGATATTAATTTGAATTGTGTGTTGTTGGAGGAAATTATAATGTTTATGCAATGCTTAAGGTAGGTTAGATAGATCTAGATCAATGGCCGCTGACAGTGTGGTACTGATAACACCACTGATGGCCAGACAAGCCTGTCTCTGTAAGCCAGAGAGCTTTCCCTGGGCCGTTTTCTTTCAAGCCTTCGACCACAAGGCAATTGCACCATAAGTTTTACCACAAATCCTTCGACATGTCCATAAGGACAGTCTGACTTTGTGTAAAACTTTTTCCAAGTGAGCGTTCCAGGTGAGTTTTTTATCAAGGACAATGCCAAGATATAAAACCTCCGTTCCAAATGGAATGACGTCACCACTGAGGGAAAGTGGCGTTAGATCGTCCAATTTTCTCCTCCTGGTGAAGGGGATCATCACAGTTTTGCTGGGGTGACAAACATCTGCTCCCTCAGGCACCAACTGTGAACAAATTCCATCGTGCTTTGGAGGATATTACAAGCTACCCTTCCCTTGCCAAGATGACAAGGTCATCAGCATAAGCTTGCAGATCTACTTTTCTTCTGTCGAGGGCATCAAGCAGACTATCCATCAGGAGCTACCACAGAAGGGGAGATAGTACCCCAGCTTGAGGGCAGCCTCTGGTGACCCTGAACCTCGCCTTGAAGAATCGTAGTTGCAGTTCTGTTTACCAGCATGACATAGATTCGGCCAGTTATGGTCAATTCAATGCTTATGGTAACTAACATATTCATTTGATAAGGATCAATATCAGTCTATATATCAAAATTACCAAAATTACCACATTATTTGTGATTATCATTTTACACTTTGAAATAGGTATACCATACGAGTTATCCTTAAAAAAATGGACAAACATAAAATAAACAGTACAAGTATCTTATCAAAAAGCACATTATATGTGACCTTCCAAACTGAAGCAGCACGCAAAATAATAATTTGAGTATTGAATCACTTCATTATTGGTTGAGTTTCCATTTTTGTTCCGTATTGTCTTCAGGTAGATATGTACTTTCCTCTTTCAAAATTGAAATCAATAATCCTGAACATATTTTTTTTGAGTGTGTTTTATCAAAGTTACAAATTGATGAGGAACTATGGCATATATAAAAATGTGGGCATATATGTTCTGCCCGGTCAAGTCGGTAGTATAAAATTTGTTGTCTTCATTTTTCTTTTCCAAAATTTGTATATTTCTGACTGTTCTGTATATTTTCAGTACATACTTTTTCAGGTTGATCGATTTGATTGAAAAAACGCTTTCAAATGGAATATTTGTTCAATTTTTATGCAGCGTGATTTTTATTTGCATGACAGGATTTCAGATACTAGTAGTAAGTAAACATATATAAGTACTTTTTCAATATCATCTAGGAGGTCATTATTTTCTATTAATAATAGATCACTTTGGAAATTCATCAGTTTATAAACTGAAAGTTCTTCAAAAAGATGATTCTTTGAGTTTTTGTTGTGTTTTATTTTCACTTGTTCACTTATATCTGACTCGACATTCAGTATGAGGGTCGTTTTGCCTAAAAAAAAGTAAGGAATCACGACGTGATGAAAGTGAGGTGGGTTGGGTCCAAATTGGGTGGGTCTATTTGACCCTAAACTGCAACCTCCTCTACTCACACGTCTTCAAACTCTGCCAGCTTCTTGACGAAGCCTATTCGTTTTTTTTTTATCAATGATCTTTCAGATAATATGGCAAGAACGACAAACCCTAAAACCTATTTCGGGGCAGCAGCCGGACAGGCACAAAGTATGTGTCCTGCTGCTTCATTTATTTCCATGAATGCAAGGTATTCACTAGCAGTTGGACATATATACACGTACCCATTAATATACAATGTAATTGCCAACGTTTCGGCAACCTTTGTGGCCATCTTTAGGGCAAAAATAAAATGATAATTAATGAATTATGATTTGTTGTACATATCTTCATTTGTACTCTCACAAACTGTATATATGAGTATGTTGTTTAAGTAAAACGAGAGATTGGTTGTGGAAAATGTCTAGAAATTTGAGTAATAGAAATATGAGGGTTATGTAAAATCAAAAACACGACTGGTACGATGAATACTAATTCACCAGCAACGGGTATTTGAATATGTGATTTTAATTGTTATTGTCCCGTATTTTTCATCAAGTTTAATGTTTTCAATTGTACATAAACCTCATACTCATTTTTTATAGATTTTCCAAAAAAAAATCCCATTTTATTTGAACAACATACTCATACATACTGTTTTGATATGTACTGATGAAGATCGAATCTTCAACAGTTTCTATGAAAATTATAGTACGTTAATTTTCTATTTTAATTGCAGCATTGAAGATGGCGCAATGGTAGTCAATTGAATTGTATATTATTGAGTATTGTCAGTACACGAACTGTCTTGTTAAACAATGTAGGTCACCCCTGCTGTAATCTAATATTGTTTGGTAATATACTTTCCAGGATATACAGTGCATTTCTTTAATGTCCCCTTCCCTTTTATTTTTTGAACGGGTCAACTCAAAAAATTGAAATTTGAGGTAATGAAATTAATGCATGGATACTTTATTTTGAAATGAAATTGACAGATGAAATAAATAAATAAATGGAAAGGGGGTTCTTGTGACACATCATTTTGAAGCTCCTGACGAATACAACTCTATAATATGGAGTCAATTTCTTCACCTACTACAAAATGGCGGAATATTTAATAATTTCCTGAAGACAAACACATTAATATCGATATTGCTAGAAATATTCCTTTTTATCTGTCATATGGCAATTCCAACAAACCGATAAGGTTTGTTAACTCATTTTTTGTTTGAAAAACGTCAAAAAATGTCAGTACGACAATGAACATCATTGTTCAGTTAAAATATTCTCATTTAGTTTTCGGTTTTACTAGTAGAAAGGTCAATTCTCGTCCATTGGAAGAAAACATTGAAGCGATTTTCATTTACGGTGCGACGCGTAACTTTCACGAGACCGAAAGGATTTTCAATGAACGTTTTCCGAATCGTCCTATCTGTAGAAAATATTTGTGGGAACTTGTATCCAAATTCACAACTAACGGTAGTATACATAACAAAAAGTCCCCAGGTCATCCGTCCATTCCGGAAGAACAGCGAATGCAATTAATTGGTGAGATGGTAGTAAATCCTGAACAGTCTATTTATTCCATCGCGATTGTTTGTGAGGTGTCTCCTTCTACTGTGTGAAGACTTTTGAAGAGGAATAGGTATCATCCATATAAAATGAAATGGTACACAAATTAACTGAAGATGACCCTGATCGAAGAACGGTATTCTGCGAAATCATGACGGAAACCATTGCAAGCCATCCTACCTATCTTCACAATATTTGTTTTAGTGACGAATTTACATTTTCATGGGGCTATTTGAAGCAAAAGGTTTACGAAATTGAACCTGCTTCAATATTGGATATACGGCAGGGAATAATATGTCAAGAAGTTCAAGGCAACCATTTTGAGCATCTTCTGAACTGACCTCAAACTTATTACCTCATATTACGTAGTTAAATGTGAAGCATTTGTCAGGAGCTTCAAAAAGATGTCACAAGACCCCCCTTTCCATATATTTTTTTCCAGATGGCGCCCAGTCGCTTCAAAAAGATGTCACAAGATCCCCTCTCCATCAATTTTTTTTCCAGGAGCCATCTTGAAAGTTTCATCTGCCAATTTAACTTCAAAATAAAGTATGCACGCTTTAATTTCATCATCCCAAATTTCAATTTTTTGAGTTGACCCGTTCAAAAAATAAAAGGGTGGGGAACATTGAAGGATTGCATTGTATAAATGCCTTGGGTTAGACCAATTCTCGTAAGTTTTGCCAGAACTCTGAAACTTATTCGCAGTCCAGGTGTTCAGTGCTTCTTTGGCAAAGCCTATAGCGATACCAATCACAGGTTCTGGTTCGATGATACCGATGATTTGTTGAATCTTCTCATTGGGAGAGTTTTTTGTTTTTGGTTGATGTACCAATTTAGCTATTGCTCAGTGACAGCCAAAAGCTTCCGAAGCTGCTTGGCACATTGATTTATGTATGAGGTACCAAATTCTCTAAACACAAATCAATAGGGGACATTTCAGTCCCGTAGTCAGCTTGATATATCTATCCTCAATCGTCGGCTGTATACACTTGCACCAGAACTGAAGGTGTTTTTGATCCATCTGTGTGTAGTCAAGTGGAAAATCTCACACTCGGCTGTAAAATAGAATAAAAAAATAAAAGAAACACTATGACATTTCAATTTTTCATATTTTTTGAGTCATGAGACGAACCATTTTTATATTTTTGAATAACATTTTTAAATGAATTTATTTCCAGATATCCTTCAGAAGTATGCAGTTCGTTCTTCTTCTAACTTATTTCTGCTGTCTCACATGTCAAGTGGTCATGTATTGCTGGTATGGTCACATTTTGATGAATAGTGTAAGTTCAAATCGTTATAATTGAAATTTAAATTATTAGTACCTACTCAATCTAGAGTTTATTCTACAGAAATAATAAATAATATATGATTCACTTGGAAAGTTATCAAACAAACACATTTTTCATTTTGTAACTTTGAGGGGCCGTAACTTGGTAACGAAGGATTTTAGGAACAGAAGTTATATGAAGTATGGTGATATTTTGACCCCATGCATCTATACATTCCCGAGAGAAAAAGAGGAAGTCCACGGACACTCTGTATAATTTTCAATATAAAAATGATACATATTGAAATATGTGCGTGATTTATCATAATGGTATTTGAAGCGTACAGAAATGTTGTTAACTGGAATTTAAGGTTTAATTTTCTAAGGGGTGAATTCCACATCTATACTCCACAACCTCATTTCCAATGCGGAAGGCGCATCGAGTTTTTTGTTGATAGAGAGAGTATATATAATTTTTTTTGTACATATGTGATTCCGCGGGATATAAAGTGGTCGAAATTAGGCTATAGGTCGGAAATTGGTGATTGATAACTCAATTGGTTCATTCTTTTCATCTGGTTGAATATAGGGTCACAAGTATCTCGTTTTTACCAAACAAGTGCCTCTCTTGCCAGAAGATATTTCACTACTTTCAATCAATAACATGTGACCAATGCATGATGGTGCACCAGCTCACTCTACTCTCGTAGTCCAGGAATGTCTACATCAAATTATTTCATCTTAACAGCTAGATAAGTCTGGGATATCCACAGTTGAGGACATTTAAGTCACCAGATCAACAGAGTTAAGATTTTTTTATGGTACAAGTATACAACACCAGTGCATTATAACAAATACCCACGGGACATTTGGCAAAACACGCGATTCAATGACAACACGAGTGGAGGCATGTACTAAGACTAGAAGTAGTCACTTTCAACAATTATTACAATGCATTTGTTAGTTTGAATATTTTGTTTTTCACTTTTGAGATGTTATCCCAATTGGGAGAGTGGTCTGAAAAGTTTAAACCACTTCATGAAGATTGCAGCTCTCGTAAATAAAAGCTAATGAACTTCGTTTTCATGTGTTGACAGTTACTCAACAAAGTTTCAGTTATTTTGGAAGCGCAGTTGTTATGTAACAGTCGTTTCAGTGAGTTCATGAAAATGGAAAAAAATCGAGTATCGAGTTGTCATTAAATATTTGTTTTTGAGAGGCCACACGCCTACGCAAATCAATGATGAAGTGGATTCTGTGTAAAGGGACTCTGCACCATCATTTATCACGGTGAAATTTTGGGCAGCTGAATTTTAACGTAGCCGTAAGAGCTTGGGAGACGATGAACGTTCAGGACGCCCATAACGTCGCCAAAGTACACCAAATGGTGCCAGACGACCGACGAATTAAAGTGAGAGAGATAGCAGAGGTTACGAATATGCCAGAAGAACGTGTTTGTTATATAATAAATCAACATTCAGGCTTGAAAAAGCTTTACTCGCGTTGAGTGCTGCGTTTGCTCACTTTAGACCAAAAACGTGTTGAAATGCTCTGTTTCAATGCTCTGTTGGCGTAGTTTAGACGCAATGAATTACTAGATGAAACTAGGATACACTATTATACTTCCGAAACAATAATACAGTCCAAACAATAGACTGCAAAGGAACCGGCTTCAAAGAAATCACAAACTGTTTTTTCGGCTGGAAAAGTGATGGCGACTGTTTTTTGGGATAGTCATGAGAAAGCCATCACAGGAGCATACTACGCAACATTACTTGACAAGCTGAAGGCAGAACTTGGGGAAAAACAGCAGAAAAAAATCCTATTTCACTAAGACAACGCACCGTCCCACACCTCAGCGGTTGCCATGGCGAATTGCGGTTCGAACTGTTTGAACATCCTCCTTACTCACCAGATCTAGCCCTAAGTGACTTTTTTTTATTCCCCATCTAGAAATTGCGCTAGAAGGAGTACTATTTGGACGGGTTACAAATATAGGATTATCGCTGAGAGAAATGTGTAGAGTTAAAAATCTAAGTACATACCTAGGAGTTTGGCTGTATCAGAGAGTTGGACGTTTTTAAGATTCAATGTCTTTCTCAAGGAGAAACCCAAGTGAAATATTTTATTTGCATTCAGTTTCAATTGGTTTCTGTCACACCAAGAAACCATAGCGTCCATGACTGAGTTTATATTGAATTCCAACTCATCTATTGTGCTACCAGACACTGATATGGTAGTGTCATCTGCGAACATAACGGTGTAACCATGTTTGATATATTTCGGGAGATCATTTATATATATTGAAAACAGCAGCGGTCCTAACATTGAACCTTGTGGTACACTAAGCATAATATCTTGAATATGTGATGCAGTGTTATTCAGAGTCACAACCATTTTTCTGTCAGATAAGAATGACTTAATCCATTCAAGTAAGAATACTCTGATACCAATGTCGTACAATTAACTGATCATAATTTCATTTCTTACTGACTCAAATGCTTTCGCTAGATCAAATAAGATTGAGACTACATACTTCCACTTATCAATGTTATTGTAAATTTCAGTCTCAATTTTTGATTAGGGAACCGCAGAATGATTTTTTGAATATATAAAAATAATTTATCTGATCGGTTTGAACCAGTTTATAAACCAGGAAAAACCAAGTAATTCCACATTGACATAATTCATCTTGCTAAAAACGAGAGGTGTAAGATCTGCTGATCTGGCAGACGATACAATTGCTCGTTACCTACCTATCCAAACATCTGGTTTTGTAAACTTTTGAGTAGAAATATCACATCAAAGTGTGTTTTTTGAATACGATATAATGGTTTGTTTGAAGGTGATCGACAATGTTTCACGATGAATTTCATTAGTTTGGACTTCCATTGTCTGATATTATATAAAATGATTTCTAATCCCTGAAAGGACTAATAAAAAAGTGTGAAATAAAATACAGGTAAAAATGGTACAATTGAACAAAAAATAAAAACTAAAAAGTTGAGAGATTTCAAGCCAAGTTAGTGGGAGATGACCGTTTGGCGGGAGTGGGCCATTTTTTGCTTGATTATGGGTTTCTATATGTTGCGTATCTCTACGCTAGCTTGACTGAATACATTGTTGGACAACATGTATGCAGCTTCTTTGAATTGCCTCCTAATTCAATATTCCTTCCTATGTATGATCTCAGCTTGGGACCACTCGATGTTATGTTGATGGGTCCAAACATGCTCAGCTATTTCTGATTTGCTTGTTTCCCCTGGCTGTGTGTGTTTCTTGTGCTCGAGAATGCGAACATTCAATGGCCTTTTAGTTTCACCGATAAAGGATTTTCCGCACTCACAGGGTATCCGGTAAATGCAATTATTGGAATCGCAGTGCGCGTTTGGTGTCCTGGTTTTCGTGAGGCTGCTACGGATAGTGTTTCTGGATATGAAGCAGGTTTTGATGTTGTACTTAGACCCATCCTCTGATATAGGGAAGTGCAAGCACTGGTTATGACGGCTTCTCTTCCTTGCGAGCCTTCTGCTGTCTTTTAGCCAAAGTCTGTTCTACCGTCATTTTTGATGATATCTAGTTCCTTTTCGAGACCTTCCTTCGTATTACAGAGCCTGAGAGCACGGTCTAATAGAGTCTTGTTGATTCCTCTTTTGGTAGATTGATGATGGTTGGATTCGTGGTTCAGATACTGTCCCATGTGAGTGGGTTTTCGGTAAACAGATATTTCCCACTTTGTGTCGGTCCTCTTTACCAATACGTCTAAGAATGGCAATTGTTATTTTCAGCTATTCATTTTTAATCCTTCTTTTTCATTAGTTCTTTCAGGGATTTCCAATCATTTTATATAATATCAGAACTAATTAATTCATAATATAATGGATTTTCATCAAGTATCGGTCAGTTATATCATATTTTTGAAGCGGTTTTGGCAAACTTTCAAGTGGAGATCCCACATTAAAGGTGTGTTTCTTGAATACATCCGGATGAACCTCATCTAACTAGGATAGTACAAGTTGTCTGATATTCGTTGTCGATATTATTCGTGTAGAGAATTCCAGATGACTTTTTTTCTGATGATTTGTAAATTCAAAAATAAAGACAATGATATTCACTGTAGTAACATGGTTGCATAGTCACATTTTGTTATTTCGAATATTTTTCTGTCAGTATTTACTATAAGGCGAAAACATGACTTGAAATCGATAAAAAACAAAATTGGTACGATTTTCCAGTATTTGCTATTTGTATTATTTTATTTCATAAATTTTAATCGTTCTGTTTCTGCTTCCAAATAATAAGTTGATATCCTACAATTTTTGATATTATCCATTGAAAAAAAACTAAATGAAACGAAAATCTGATACCGCAATTAATTACAGATAAAAAGTTACACGGTATACAAAACACTCAACATATTTTTGCAGAGTGAAGACATAGCTGAAGCCTGTTATATGACAGAATGGTTCAACGGAACCCAAAAAATTCAAAGGATGTTTGTCATTATCATGGAGAGGGCAAAAAGACCCGTGAAGCTGAGAGCCGCGAACTTCTTTTATCTCAATTTACAAACTTTAATGGCAGTAAGTATTCTCCCAACACTGGAAGTTGTTGAAAGCAATTGACGACATAGACGGGAAATTTTGCCAGACTTTTCTCGTCAAAGAATATCGTGGAGTGTTAAAAAAATTTGGTGAATTTTCAAATTTCGCGGGCTACGTACATTTGATTAACGATTTATTAATTTTCCTATGTTGGTATACTCATCTCGAACATATTTTCATAGTTTCAGCTATTTAGAATGTTTGTTCATGGAGGCAATCATCTTAGTGACGTGGTCGAAGTACTCTTTTTGACGTATCAACTATTGATACGTCAAGAAGAGTACTTCGACCATACAACTGAAGATGCCTTCCACTGAGATCCATAATGGCTCTAACATTTTTTCTATGGTCAGATTAAGCGAATCCCTCTATATAATCGTCAGATTATGAGACAGAACGTCTAAAACATAAAGATGAACCATATATATCTCAATCTGGCGCGCTTGAGTATTTCAAAATGGCGAATTTTTTGCACATTATAATAAAGCCCGCGAGTTTGCGTCAGATCGAAATCGTCAGATTATTGAATGAGAGATTTTTTTTGTTGCACTTAACACCCCCTTAGAAAATCTGACGCGCTCGATTACATTTTTTTCTTTTCACTTCTAACCCTTACGTACAACCACCCACATCATGCAAACGATCAGATAAACATACCAACATTATTAAAAATACGTAGGACATTGATGCTATCAATATCTAACGCGCTCGAGTATGTCCATGCAACAGATTTTTTTTACATATTTAAAAACCTATAGCCGCTTCCCCCACCGATGAAAAGGTATATATTATATAACTTATTTTCTTTTTATCATCTAAGCTTTGCAACCTAATATGTCTCAATGACGCTCGAGTAAATCCCCATTTTGCATCGTGGGCTCCCCTGCTAAAACATTGACTGCCAATACATATCTTCGACGATAACGACAAAAATGTATATCCTTACTAAAATCTGGAGATATACTTTCTACTTGAACGACATTTTTATGCAGGAGTCAACATGTCTTACTATTTTGTGTGTGATTAACCTCCCACAATCAGAAAAATAAACACAGCTAAATCAATAGAGAATCTGCTGAAGTGTAATGAATCGCAAACTGAAACCCTGCAAAGTGGATAATATAAACTCTTCGGTGTTTATTTTACGCAATAACTTTTGGGGTAAATTTTTCACTTTTCCTTTCATTACACTTCGAAGGATCCTCTTTTGATTTAGCATTGTTCATTTTTCAGCTTGTGAGAGGTTTAATACCCAAAAACAATAAGAAACATCAGGAGAAAGTTTCGGCTTGGGCTGACAGTTATCAAGAAGATTTAACGCTGAAAAACCCTTCATGAATAAACGTGACAGAACTTGGACATGATATGTTTTGGGTCAATCATGTTATACTCAAATATTACTAGTAAAATAGCAAAGGCACGTTTTCGAAACGGCAAAAATTCCTTTACAGAAAGAAAAGTTGTACACACCTTATCAATTTGGTATTATTTATTATTATTTTTTTTTTGAGAAAAACAACTCCTTTGGGATATTGCTAGATTCTATGCAGAAAAACACCACCAGCCTGACTGGAGATCCAAACATCACAAGCAATCTTGATTGGGATAGACTTGATGATAGAATTGATAGACTGGGATATTGAAGGATATTTTCATGGGAAGTCTTCGACTAACTTCATTCCACTAATAGCAATATATGTCAGAATTGTGCGACGGATATTCAACTCACTACACCCCAAACTGTATACATTTGTGGAATGTCGTGCTTGTGCTATAATCAATCCCAATCATTTCAATAAATATATTCCGAAGAATTGATATGATATGTCTCTAGTTATTTTTTTTTTCAGATTTTGAGATCATCTTATTCCTACTTTGCAGTCTTATGGCATATATACAGCAATCAATGATAGTAATTTCTAGTATTCCATCGTATATAGTCACCAAATTCAAACGATGACTTCAGATTAGTTTTGATTGATATTTGAATACTAACTACCAACTGAGAGCAATACATGAATAATAAGAAATGCACTAATCTATATGTGTAATTAAAAAAATATACCATGTATGCTAAGCAAAATAAAGATATATAAAAATATTCTGTTGGGTTTTGTAAATTATTTAAGTAGATGTATTATAGCCTCTTCAGCCCCAATCTCGATGACATTAGATGAAGACTCAATTCATTCATAACATTACGACTTTATATCAGGGAAGAGTGTAATTTACTCATGTCATAACAGAAGGTAATGACATTCATTCGCCATAGGAATCTTCTTCAAATTGAAAGGGGTATATTTTCAGGCGGTATTGAGTTTTGGAAAAAAAAGGTTTCGACTTTCTACTTCTCCATCTGAAATGTGGGTAACTTCTAAAGAAAGAAAAAAGCAACTAATTTAGAAATAAATTTTTCACGATGATATCATGGATCATGCAAATAAATAACTTTCAAACACAAACTGAAATATTGGTGCTGAAGAAGCAATAAGGGTGTCTTATTTCGAAACATCGATGTCCGCCATTGAGAATAACAGTGTTCCATGTAAGTGAAATTTTAACTCTTTCAGTTACTATATTGTGTAGCAATTCTGTGAATGATACCTGATTCGATTCCATAAAGAATTTTTCGAATACAAACTGAATAAGAATATAAAAGAAATTCTTTCAATAGGGTTGTCTCTTTCAGTTTGTGCCTGAAAGTTGTCTACACATCACAGAGTTTATTTAGAAATTGATTGCTTTCTTTCTTTTTTCATTTCGAAGTTTCCCACATTTTTAATGAAAATGGAGAAGTAGAAAGCCAAAACAAAAATCAAAAATTGTTTAATTCTTGGTGAAAATCGAAATATGTTCGGCAATTAGCAATTGAAGCACACAAACTAGCTTGTGAATTATCATTTTCATCAATCCACAATTCTACTACATATACAAAAAAATTGGTTATCTTGCCAGAATGATAACTTATATACATACTACATTCACAAACACGTTTTTCTGAAAAGACAAATTTAATATTCACTGAGTAGTAAATAACATCGATAAAGATTGAAAGATATTCTACTGCAATCGTAGCCGAAAAAAAATTTACACCAAATATTCGCCGAGTAGTTAGTAACATCGATAAAGATTGAATGATATTCTACTGCTGTCGTAGCCGACAAGTTATTCTTCTCGATGTGAAAAATCCTACAACTCTTTTTGAGGGTAATATTCAGATCAGATCTATGTCTCTCAATTCTTCCATTTCAATAGACAATATAATATCCATTAAAAAATAACACAATATAGTCTTTACAATGAAATCACAGAATTCTAGTTGCAGACAAATGGACACAGCTTTCAAAAGAGTTGAAATGTTAAATAAAGATTTTTCATTGATATCAATACCATCAACTTTCCAAAATATTCGTCAGGCATATTATTCCTTTCAGGAGTATTAATTACGGTTGCAAAAGAAAACAATATTTCTACTGATTTATCCTGGATTTAAATCTCTTATCACGTCAGGTTCTCGCTTTTTTTCACTTTTAATTAGGTCAATTCCATAAGAGAGAATATAATAATCCGCAATCTTCTTTACGATTGTATAACACTATTCCATAAATCCGCTATCAGTAACATAACTCCGCAAACTATCAACCTGTACTTCCGTTTAGCAATGTTGCCGGTATATTTTCAGTGAACAGCGAACCAGCGATAAAATATACTCATTGCCTTACATGAGACACAAAATAATCCACCATTGCCCAGCTGCACATTCTGAAACAGTCTCAAGTACGAAGTAATTGCAAATGTAATTAGGACTAGCTTGCACTGATAATTACACACAGTAGGTAGACTAGACTGGGTACGGTTGAAACAATTTAGCTTTCATATCGTTTATAATTCTATTGTTTATAAACCAAGTGACGATTATGATACGTGGAATTCAAATGTGAAGTCTCAGCTACTATATGGCTGTATCATTATAGTTCCCGGGTTACTATTTTTAGAAATATATGAAATGAAAAAATATATATATTTGTTTCAATCGTCCACATGTCAGGTGCGGTTGAAACAACGATTGGGGTCCAGCTTTTACTTCCTCATGTGCATTACTATAGATCGAAAAGTCAATTTCACCTCTGGAAGTCTTTCTCACCCGAACTTTCGGCATCTACAAAAATTAAACATTAATATATTTTCTGTTTCAACCGTACCCACAAAAAATGTTTCAACCGTCCCCAACCCCACTTTTGGTAAAATATACTTTATAGTTACGACAGTAATAATAACACATTAAAAATAGTCATCATCCCTTATTCTACAAGCGTCATAACAATCACAAACACACACTCAATATATTCACTTAAAAAGAACAGATAATATAAGCGTTAATGTCAGAAGAAAAATACTTACTTTTGGGTAATAAAAAACAATATGGCGTCCTGTATACAACGGAAACGCGGAGGAAGCGGGACGGCACTGAATTCGTGTTTGGATCTATCGTCCGCTTCGTTTCCCCTTTGCACCCCTCACTCCCCGCTTAACCGTTTACGAGATATTCGTACTGTTTCAACCGTCCCCAGTCTACCATAATAGTTTTCATTAAAAAAAATCATTAAATATGTTTGGTTTAATGGATGAACGATTAGATGTTATCGTTCCTGGTAACAGATTTTTCCTTGTTGGTTCTTTTTACTTCCACAAGAATAATTTTTAACTGTCGAAGAGTTAATTTTCATAATGATATACATGTGATCTACTTAGTAGTTTATGAACTGTTCAAAATATTGTCAATTGTTTTTGGGAAAAAACTGTTCGACTTTCATTTCTCCATCAACTACGAAAAAGTGAATAACATACAACACCATGAGTATATACAAACAGATTATTCGAGAGTACAATACTAAATTTACTAACAATAAACCAAGTATACAATTATTGTGAGAGCAAAATAAATATAATTATTAATGCAGTCTACATATTATTTCCTACATAACGCATATAATAAATTTTGGTATGACCAAAAATATATTTCCAAATGCATGGAGAAGGGTGATTGTAGGGTTTTACCAAAAAAAGGCACCTGCTGAATTCAAAGACCTGCATGCAATTAGGATTTTGCCGGTGCTTTCAAAATTTTTCGAAAGGCCTCTAGAAACCCAAATCAAAGATTACCTATGCAATCAGTTCCTAATTCCCTCAATTCAATCAGGTTTTCAGCTGCACCACTGCGTTACAGATAAAGAACGGGTAACAATGCTGGTGCTACTAGATTTTAGTCGAGCTTTCGACACCATTAATTACGATTTACTGGTTGGCATGTTGAAATACATAGACGAAATATGTTCGGCAATTAGCAATTGAAGCACACAAACTAGCTTGTGAATTATCATTTTCATCAATCCACAATTCTACTACATATACAAAAAAATTGGTTATCTNAAAAATCGAAAGCAGCAGGTATGTATGAATGGTGTCTGCTTGGATTATATGCCTCTGAGATCTAGGGTCCCACAAGGATCCATACTTGGTCCATTATTGCTCTCCATATTCTTACTAAAATCTGAAACTGCACCTCTACGCTGACAATACTCAGCTATACTATAGTTTCAAGGCTCAAGAACTAAAAAATGCATGTACAGTTATAAATAAATGAGGATTTGAGGAATTTTATCAGTTATGTCACTGATAACTGCCTGCTTCTTAATGCAACAAAATCTGAAGTTATGCTGTTTGAATGCAAATATCATATTAATATTAACTTGAATAATGAGCAAATAGCGTTAGTTGATGAAACAAAAAGTCTAGGCGTAGAAATCGATTCTAGCTTGAGGTTCGAAACCCATATCAAAATATTGATATAGCATGCGTATTCTAACATCAAGTTGATTTGTGGAAACCGACATCTTTTTCCAATAAAAACCACATAGGCGTCAGCTCTCATGTGGTTTTTGATAGTTTGAACGTATTGAAATGGTCGAAAGGTGGGTGCCCCACGATTTGAACGATCAACAAAAAAATTTCACGTTTCGGGGTATGTTTTTTTTGCTGTTGCGCAACCAAAACGATCTTTTTGGATCGTATCGTCATGTGTGATGAGAAGTGACAACAGGAGACGTTCTGGACACCTATGAGCACTTTCCAAAATTCAAAACTTCCAAAAAAGACCATGGGTACTGTATGGTGATCAGCGGCTCATGTGATTCACTATATATTTCTGCAACCGGGACAAACCATCACAGCAGAGTACTATATATTGCTAACCATAGTAACCCTCAGAGCTCATGATCAGAAAAAGAGGTGTTTCTAACGAAATTATTTCAGAAACATTCAGTAATGCTTGATGAGGCAGCGTTTTAAATAAATGTTGATACGGATAGCACCATAACCCATACTTCTCACAAATAAGTATATTTCAATAAATTCCCACAAAACATGTTAGGAATCACACGTTAAAAGGTAAGACCTCGTTGGTCCTTAGCTCGCACAAGTTTCGACTTCTGAGAGTTGTCGTTCGTAGGGCTGCGACAGCTGGTTAACGGAAAAACAGATTTTAAACAGATTAATACATGTTTGAATCTTCCTCAACCTTTCTCTTGAAACACTCTGTTCATTAGTCGAAACCGTTTGAAAGACATTCATTTATGATGGTGTTATGAATTGAGAACTGACTTTTTTAACAAGGTAAGTTTTTTGCACTTTTGACATCGATTTGAGTCATATTTCCTTCTCGATAAAATAAATGTCTGGTGAAAGAATCAATGGCGGATCCAAAAAATCATTTTGGGGGGACAGTTTACAACTCAGAGTATAGGATACATAAGCCCTCCACAAAGATCTGAGTCTTTGGAGGTTTTCTATTAAGGAAAATATGTATATCAAAAATATCCCCAATCAATACCATTGAGTGAAAAGTTGTTCAGGTACAAGCATAATTAACTAAAAAGTAGATTATAATGACTTTTTAGTAATCAAATTTATTATTGGTAGAACATAATAGTATTTTATA